AATATTGGCCCCAGTACTGACCCTTGGGGCATAGATATATGGTTTCAAAAATAATTAAGCAAATTAAAGTAACTAAAGTCAGTCAAAGACTGTTAAATTCAGAAGGTAGTCTCTGGCACAGGCAATTTTTCAGCCAAACTGCTGGTGGAGTTTTCCAGGTCAGTATCATTAAGCAAAGACTATTCCCATAATCACTGTCAGAGACAGGCCAGGGGCTAGATAAACATTTTTCACAAGAGTGGATCTAAATAAAAAACTTTAAATTCCCTTCTGCATTTGTCAGTCATATCTTGGCTTTTCCATACTTAGGAATTAATGTGGTACCACCATCAGCTGTTAAGAAGTGTAAGGAAAAGTGCTTTTTTTGAGAAGGAACTATGTTGTGACACTGTGTACTTGGGTCTCTCCCAGCTTGGATGGGATCAATGTCTACACCTGGAAACTCAGAGGTCTTTTTCTCCAGAAACATAAAGACTGCTTATGTGGTTTGCATGTATAAGTATGAAAACATCCAAGCTGTTTCCTTTCTGAATCAAGTCAGAAGCTTCCCTCACATATTTCTAACTTATTAGGCAAATCCTTAATTTATTTTTATGGCTTTTTTAAGGACTATCAGGAAGCTTCTAATTTGGAGCAGTTTGTGACTCGCTTTCTGTTGAAGGAAACACTGAACCAGCTTCAGTCGCTGCAGAGCAGCCTGGAGTGTGCCATGGAGACCACGGAGGAGCAGACGCGGCAGGAGAGGTGAGCAAACCTACACAGCTACAGTGAAGGGGTGAGCAGTGGGGCCACCGTGAACCTCCAAATCATTTTACAGTTCACCCAGCAACCTGATGTAGGGGATAATGGGAGAAATAAGAATACACTTTTTATTTCATATAGAAACTCATTTAATAGGAGTTTAGAACCACGTCACGGACAGACTCTGCCCTTGAGCTTTCTCTCCTTAAAATATAGGTTTACGCCAGCTTAACTCTCCTTTATTCTTTTATTACTTCTCTAATGGCTGGTGGCCTGAACGCAACTAATTAGTAATAGTGAAAATCTGGAAAATAATTCAGGGGTCTCAAGAGGTATTTCTCCTTTTTAAATTCAGAAGGGAACATACAAGCATGTTTTTCGAGAACAGTGAGAGGAAAGCTCTCCCATGTGTCTTATGAAATCTCCTGTGCTTCTGTGCAGACAAGATCCAGCAAAACCAGAAGTGCTCTCAATTCAATGGCCAGGAAAACGCTCAGCTCGAAGGCTTCAGAGGAACAACAGCCTGTCACCAAACAGCCCTCATTTTAGCACAGGTACTGTATTTCACATTTTAAAGATATTTAAAACACGTGCATACATGTACACACATATAGAAAAATATACATGTATCTTCCTCTCAAAAATTTCATTTAGACATGGTAACTAACTCAGATACTTTACTGACAGAAATCAGTCTTCAATTTAATATAGAAGGTATTAACTCAAGCTGCAAGGAAAATAAATATGTACTTATAGATCTGAACTGATAGAGAATAAATACATAACTATGGACCAAACTTGATATCATTTTGGGGCTATGGTTTGAGTAAACATTTCCCAGGTAATATTTCTAGCCTGCAGATAAGAATGAAGAGGTGAAGGCCATGACTTTTACAGAAGCAAGTTCTCAGTCATGACTTACATCCCAGCTGAGGGGAACAAACAAGAAATAAAAGGGAAAATGTAAAACCTGAAAGAAAAAGAGATTTCATTTAAGATTATACAAAAAAATTAGAAACAGCATTTCTGCTTTGGAAAACGTGAGAGGGTACTTTGGTAAATGGGATTATTCGGAAGCAGTGACATTAAGCATAAGGCTGCAATGAAGGCATCTCCAGGCTTAGTGATGTCTCCCAAAATCAAGGCATGAAGGTGACTGACACACCAAAGTATGTGATGGGTCAAGGCCACTTCTTGACCAGCCATGCAGATCTCACTGCTTGCAGCCACACGATTACCTCTTCATTTTTGATGCTCTTTTGAAGTCTCTTCTGTCCCTCACATTCATGACTCGCTTTCTGCCACTCACCAGTGCTGTTAATTCAGTGCAATGATGCAGGATGATGTTTCGTCTCTTGCTCTGGTTGCTGGTGTTCATAACATGGAAGGTCACATACCCTTATTGCTGCACTCCTGATTCACAGAGTTCAGAAGGAACCCAAACATATGCAAGCTGTACCAAATCCACTTACTGTATTAATATAATTTTAAATTTCTAACATATTCATCCATGGCTAGTCTAGTAGCTGTCTACCTTCCTAGACAAGGTTTGTGTTTGTATTGGCACTTGGTTTTCCTCCTTACAGCCTGCTGCCCACATGCACAGTAATGCTGTTGGTGTGTCTATGTACTCAACACTCAAGCCAGCATTTCTTTAGCCTTTGTACTTGTTGAGGTAAACCCACACTCTGTCTCCTTTACATATCATACCTGGGTATGTCCCCAGCATTAGGATTTCTTTGTCTGGTCAAAACATAGTCACAGAATCACAGAATATTAGGAGTTGGAAGGGACCTCAAAAGATCATCCAGTCCAGCACCCCTGCCAGGATCACCTAGACTAGGTCACACAGAAACATGTCCAGGCGGGTTTTGAATGTCTCCAGAGAAGGAGATTCCACAACATCTCTGTTCCAGCCTGTTCCAGTGCTCTGTCACCCTCACAGTAAAAAAATTTTACCTCATGTTCATATTGAACCTCCTATGTTCCAGCTTGCACCCATTGCCCCTTGTCCTGTCACTGGCTATCACTGAGAAGAGCCTGCCTTCTTCCTTCTGACACTCACCCTTTACAAATTTATAAACATGAATAAGGTCACCCCTCAGTCTCCTCTTCTCCAAGTTAAAGAGAACCAGATCACTCAGCCCCTCCTCATAAGGGAGATGCTCCACTCCCTCAATCATCTTTGTGGCTCTGTGCTGGACTCTTTCAAGCAATTCCCTGTCCTTCTTGAACTGAGGGGTCCAGAACTGGACACAATATTACAGATAAGCAGGTGGAAAATGAGCAGGTTGACGAATGTGCATATGAAGAGCATGTGTTGAAAAATCTCCAGTTTCTGGTAAACAACCTTCCTCTCTCCTTAGAGCAGACCCTTATGTACACATTCACACTGTGGATGATGCCAGGAACTGCTCTCATAATACACATATCTGTTTTCTTGAGTATTATATTTTCCATCTGGTAGAAAATTTTCATGAGACTTTAGCAAAGCAAATTTTTGCAGAGACTTTAGAAAGGCTCAGAGATGCTTGTGCCTTTGTAGAACATTTACCAGCTTCACTGTTGCTGTATGCCATTAGGTCATTATACTGTCATGAGTATAACTGCAGTAGAGATGGAGAGCTAGGAAGTCTTCTCATAGAGTCATGTCCTGTCCATATCCTATCTGCCCAGGGAACTAAGAGTTGTCTCAAGAGGTGTTCAAAAAACATGTGGCACTTCAGGACATCGTTCAGTGGGCATGGTGGTGCTGGGCTGACAGTTGGACTTGATCTTAGAGGTCTTGTCCAACATTAATGATTTCACGATTCTATAAAGGGACAAGACACAATTAACTTCCAATGGTTTTAGTCTTTCCTTTGCTGCTGAATTCTATTGCTTTGGAGGAAAATAAACATAGGAAAGTTATTATGATTAAACATAATAAATCTTGAGTTGGTAAAAATGTGATGTTACCACAGGCATAAATTACACATCTCAAAACCAAAACCTCATTCTAGAAGAATCTAGTGTAGGAAGGATCAATCCTAATAATCATGTTGCTGCAATTCATCAAGCACCTAGGAATGCTGTTTAGTTGAAAAGGTAGAGAAGGATCATTAGCTGCAAGGGACATCCAGCTAATGTTATTAAATCAGCTATAGAGTCCACTGTTGCAGCTAAATGAACCTTTTCTGAATGAAGAGAAAGCCCCTTATTCCCAATACATATAAGATATTCTGTGGTTATGTTAGGAGGCTCCCTCAGGAATACCTCAACATCAGCATTCTCCAACATCCCATGACAGAAACCTAGATCATTTAGCTGCACATGTACATCCAATTAATTATTTTCTGTTTTTCATAAGAATGCTGCTTTTTTTTATTGGGAAGGAACATATATAGTCTTAACCTTTGAATAATTCCGGAATCCTGCTGGAAGCCTCATGTCAGGACCCTGAGGACACTGACGGGCTGACCACAGCACTGTGTTTGCAGTCAGGGCCCTACAACAGGTCTGCTACCTCTCTGCAGGAGGAAGAGATCCTGTCACCTAGGCTGCATTGGCCATGCCAGGATATTTCAGACAGTCTTGACTGCATTTCTTTCACCTTCTTCAGCGCTCTCAGGGGTAAGGAAGTGCAGAAAAGATGCAGCACACGGTCCCTCCATGGAATGTATTTTAAAGGAATCCCAGAGACAGGCTTTCTAGGCAGCTGATTTTTTTTTTTTAAGACCTGATTTTTACTCTTACAGAAACTTTTACATAAAGAAGATTAAGAAATGGCAAACTAAGAAAAATAGTAAAAAAGAGATAGCTTTATCAGACACACCCCCTCAAGATGATTTTTGCATCTTGAGCAGACAGTGCTCAGGTTATGAGTTTGTTCCACCTGCAGAGGAGAGCATTCCTTTCTACAGGTATCAGCAAAATTTCAAAAGCATTGGCATTCATCTAGAATGTACTTTTCATTCTGTATTGGATTTCTGTTGTATCTGAAAGAGAAACAAAGTAATTAATGTAGTCAAAATCATGCTCTCCTTTACTTACACGTAAATAAACATTGAATTAGTTGCAGTACAATTGTTAAGATGTAAAATAATAAACTTCAAGATAAGCTAAACTTTTTTTATAAAATAGATGAATACACTATGTTCCAGCATTTAGTAACATTCTACAAATGTTCATTATTTGTATTTTCCAAAGGTTGGATTGAGGAAGACAGCCAGTGGATGACCCAGATAAACAGACTCCAAAAGCTGATTGACAGGCTGGAAAAGAAGGTGCGTATTTCTTTTCACCTGCTTGTTCTCTCATTTTCAGTAAAGCAATCTTTAAACCACAAATGCTTTCAATGTCCCAGTTACAGTCTTTCCAATCAATAATGACTGAAACTTCAACATCACCTAAGTGAGCTAACACTCATTAAATGCCTACATTTTCCTTCCACCTCCTCCTTTCCTATTTCATGAGATCATGACATGGTTTTCCCATGCTCCCCTTTCCTCTTCCCATCACCACAGATCCAACTTTTCATAAAGATCTGAAAAGCCACATTAATCTACGACTGAAGGATGTTATTGTATTTAGTTATGCTTGTTTTGGGGAACATGGGACAATTGTCTCCTTTTAGGATCTGAATTTTTTCTCTTCCTCTCCAAACTTTCCCACTAAAGCTTGACAGAAAGTTTTGTTTCCTCCTTCCCCCATCAGAGATTACTAATTTATAAAGATTGAAAACACTTTCCAAGTAAGTACAGTTCAACCAAAACCTGATGCAAATCCCATCATCCCTCCTGGGAACTGTGGGAGCCGCCTCAGTTCCGGGGCTGCAGCATCCCCCAGAGCCCTGAGACCGCCTGCGGTTCCCACGGTTCCCCCGGAGCAGAGCCCTCCGGGAGTCTGACAAATGATCTGCCTGATCCCATGATACCAAGGCTTCCCAGGGCTCGTAAAAACTGGAGTAACATCTGTTTGTACAGAAAATATCTATTATTTCTTTTGTTTTCAATCAGATTTACTGCTACTCTAAGTTTTTAAAGTTGGTTTATGTCTGTGTGTGATTACTTTTTTTTTTTTGAGAAGAAAGAAGAGCAGAGGGGAAAGTAAGGTATAAATTCCTATGGTGTTCTCTCCCTGTTGAAGGACAGGCAGACAATTTCTGATAGGTGCTAAGGGAGTGGCTGAATTCAGTGGATTTGGGGTGCCAAGGGGATTTCATCCTTGTCCACTAGAGGCCAGGTTTTAGGTTGAAGTGCTCTCAGACCTAGGAGTTGCTCCAGTCCCAGTGTGGCTGATGCTGCTCCTCCTTGGAGGTCAGTGCTCACCAGTGGTGAGGCTGTGCAGATGCTCCATAGACACGGATCCACAAACACCAACGTGGGTGCCTTCACCAGCACCTGCAAACAGCCAGGCAGCACCCCGAGAAACACGAGCATGCAACAGCCTGATCCTGCTCCTTCTTTGCAGTTGACCAGGATGGATGTTCCCCCATCAACATTATCATGGGCTTGAAGTCCATCTAGTTCTTGTGTCTGGACCCAGGCCCTTACCCAGGCACCAGCTCAGACCTTGGGTCCTGGCAGACGAGAGTCTCCCTACTCATCCGCTAGTCCAACTTGAGTTCGGCAGCAAATTATACACCTAGATAATACTTAAGTAAGGGACTTAACAAGAAGACAGAATAATCAGTGGTGATCCAGCACAGGGCTCAGCAAGACAAGCATACCGACCTTTCTCTGCCATTGCTCCCTCCCAAATGAACAAACCACCCCTAATTACTTTTTCCCTTCGGTCCCAGTTTGGGACCAAAATTTGGTTATTTCTGTTATCTCATCCTTCTTACTGATTAGCTGCATTAGCTGCACATGGTCACCCCCAGCACTGCTGGCCTTGCAAGACTCTGCTCCCCAAAAGGAGCCCAGTACTCCCTCCAGTTATCCCTGAGGTCTGACAGTCTCTCGCATCGCTTCTCCTTAACCAGCTGTGAAATTCGGTCATTGCTCGTGGTGCTGTCTGTAACTTCCTTCAGCTTCTCACTCTGTTCCTTGCTATGCTCAGCAGCTCCTCATAGTCTGCTCAGTTCATTAAGCCTCCAGCCAGGGCATACTCATAGGCCTGCATACAGCAGCTTCCTCCCAGAGGTCATTTCTGCATGAGAAAAGCAATTACACAGCAGTTGCCCCGTTAATGACATTTTAGTGGCAACTTGATTTTTTCTGAGTAGATATAAATTGGATTTTGAAATGTCAAAGTCCGTTATGAAACATAACTCTCACTTTTGGTCCAGCTTTACTCCCAGCTCTGCTTTGGGAGCAGCAGTTCACTGCCCTGCCACAGGGACCTCCTGACACAGACTGATGCCAAAAAGGAGTTTAAGGAAACTTAAAATTTAAAATAATGTTAATGAAAAAATAAAACTGGCACACAGCAATAATGCAATGCAAATGTTACACAAATCAGCGAACCATTTTGTAGTAAATAAACTTGCAACAAGGATCTTATCAAATCATCAAATTTGCTACAGTTAAATGTCAGAGAACTTCAGTTTGAAAAGGAGCTCAGTGCCATAGGGAAACAGTGGCCTGACATAGACCTTCCTTAATTATCTCCTCATCAATCTAAAACTTGATTAATAAAACATAGCCATTAGATAAACGTAATTTTGCCAATAGACAGCCTGTAACCACCTTTGCCTAACTTTGCATCTGCTTGACTTCGTATCTCATGACCAGGTCTAACTGTGAGAGGTGAGACAGTCACCATTTCTTCAGCTTCTCCAGGACCACCACTTTTGTTCTTGTCTTGGCACTTCTTTCTGGCTTCTGTGAACTAAAACCCCCCATTTACTAGACATGTAACTTAGAAACCATAAAACTTCTTGTCCTATAAGTTATGCTAAGGTGTATTAAAAAGATTATGAGAATTCTTTTGCCTTAGTGACATTCTCTCTGGTCCTCATTTTATCAGATCTTACACTTCATTACTGTAGGAGAAGCTCACTGTGATCCATGTTGAAGCAGCATCTAGCAAAATGATGTTTGGATCATGACTGGGACTGGCACATATTGCAAAAAGGATGTCGGTGCCTCTTAGCAGTAGGAAACTGTGAGCCCCCCTATTCTGTTACAAAGTAAGTCAAGTAAAAGCAAAGTCAGGAAAAAGCAAAGCTGATCACTTGAATGACCACTGACTTCACACTGAAATTAATTAGACAGAAACACCAAGTGGTTGGCCACCACTTCCCACCGGGGATGAGGCAGTTACATATGCCCTCTCTCAGCAGTAACTTAGCCATTTTTAGCCCAGATGGTGTTCCAGGTTAATCCACCACATCCAGTCAAGTGTTAGATTTCAGCTGTCTTTCAGCAGTTACTAAAGCTCTTTTTTTTTTTTTTTACTTTGCCCTGAAGCAGATTAGAAGGATTGCACAATCACACAAAGAGGCAGTTTCAGAAGGTAGCTCTTCTCTCCTGAGGTGAGGTAGGACAGAGTAAATACATTGTAAAGCCCCAGATCTGAGCTGCAGCCTTGGTCAGTTTTCATGTCCAAGCTTGTGTGATAGGTGTCTGGCAGGAGCTCTCATCTCCACATTGGGCTCCTTCACTCATGCTCATCAAGTCAGCTGATCCCTGAGCAGTCTTTCTGCAAGACAAGGACTAAACACCAGGTCTGAGGTCACAGCGAGCTGTCTGTGTAGACTTACTCCATCTGTGCAGTGACGCGCTGTCTAATGACATAACAGTACTGAAGTTCTCCTATAGATTATTTTTAACTTCCTGGGGGGATCAGCAAATTCTCCATCAGCGGTTTCTACTGAAAAACTACTTGGTAAAGGACTGATTTAGTGTTGGCTAACTCTTCTGCTGTCTATCAAAGGTGAATTTAACCATGAATCAGTCTCTTAAGTACTTTTCTTTTCCTCAAGTTCTAAAGTTATGCATACTGGAAAAACAGGTGGTTTTTTTCTTGATACCTTAAGAGAAAGTTTGCAGTACAACTCGAGTCATTCCTTTCCTCTCTTTTTATATGTTTCCCCAGAAAAAAACTGCACTGAAAGTATAGAAGAACCACAGGAATATGCATTTTCCCTCAGGATTTTTTATCTGAAGCATCTGCACTGAAAAATGAGCTATTAAAGCTGGGTGGGTTTTTTCCCACACACACATTTCATGCCTTTCTGTGCACATCCTGCAGAAGAGGCACAGCTACACAGCAGTTAATGTCTGAGTGCTACTTCACTCCTGCCTGGCACTCCTGCCTTGCTCTGCCACCTGCTGCTGGTGGAGGTCCCCTCTCCATTTGAATTCTACCTGCACACCTCTTGTTGTTGGCTTTTCAGCGAGTACAGTATTTGTGCTGACGAAATGCCTGCTACCTGAGGTTAATCAATCCTCACCCAGCTAGGAACAGAGGAAAATTTTCTATCTTTGTTACACAAGAACTGTGTGCAATGCAAAGCATCACTAACAAACAGCACATTTTGCTCCAGCTGCTTATTGCAAATCGATCTGCTATTTTTGAGGCATATGGATATTTTTCAGAATATCCACATGGTACTGGGTTAGAAGATACTGCATGTGCCTAGCATGAAAGTGATAGCATTTTCATGAGTCGCTGATTCATAAAGTGTGCATCCAGTTTTTGTGTTAAGCAGGCACACTGCTGTGTGCAGATGTATCTGTTTGCTGCTGCCCAGGCTGTCCTCAGAAGCAATGCAGCAGTTCAGAAACCTGCTTTGGAGCACCATGCACATCTTTTTCAATGCTAGAAAATGGCTCCTTGCCACTGTGTAACCCTAGAGAAGTTTCTTCTCCATAAAGTTTTATGACGGTATAATTGTAGCTGTAGTTCATTTCAAATTACCATCCTCGCTCATCTCCATCTCCCACGTGACAATTTGAGAAGTATCTGTCTTTTCTGAATTAAGTCCAACATAGATTCGTGAGCAAGCAGATTTGTTACAAATGAAAAATTATCTGCTGAGCATTACAAATAAAACTTTACAGAACAGTCCAGGTCGGATTTAACCACTGAAACGTGTAAGATTCTCCAAACAATGCCCGTGTTTGACTTACAGCTAATAAAGAAGGGATTTAATTATAACTTCTGGAGATATAACAGAATCTAGCTACTGGAGTAGTTTGTTAAAAAGGCAAGAGCAGAATACAGCTGTAGTATTGCCCCATATTTCTGTTTTCTTTTCAACTGTCTGGAAGGACCTAAAGCTTGAGCCATTCGAAGAGGAAGTTTTGGAAGAAAATGCAAAATCTGTAAGTACTTTTTAAGATCATGACTTTTGACATTTCATTTTCAATGCCAGGGAGTAAAATAACAACCTCGCTTGATTTCTTTTGTTAAAAAATAATAAATAAGTAATTTGCCATCCTTGCTTTTCCCAGTGGTAAGAATCCGTTTCAGTCAGCAGAATACATTGTGCAAGACGCAACACAACAAAATTAGAACATATGGGTAAAAATTGTATATTCATTTTTGCATTGTTTTCAGATGATAAAACTCAACTCACATAAGGAGGAAAAGGTATCATGAATAAGATTTACTCATTTTGGCAGCAGTGTTTATGGGTTGGTGGCTTCTCACCTCCCAGTCACCTAATACTGCATGCATGCTTTAAATCACAGTTGTACAGGCAGCCTCCTTCCCTCCCTCCAAAACTGCTGTAGGAAGCCTTACCAGGAAAGACGGGAGAGCATTTAGTGTTAAGCAGTAGTCAGTATCACAACTTGCAAAACCAAAATCATAACCAGAAATAAACTTACTTCTAATTAAGTTAATGTCCCAAGATCAAGATGAATTTTTCGAGTACACTGGTATTCCTAAATTCAGGCCATTGGACCTAACAAAATGCAAATCAAATACACAGGAAAAGGTAATAAAAACAGATGATCCACCAAATTACTTATTTCATGACAGGAGTTGTAATAGACTTTTTCTTTTATAAAAAACTAAAACAGGGACAGCAAACTTTGAAAGAACTTTTGTGGGTTTTCCTTTATTATTGTGTTCTCCATTGTTTTATGATAGACTTTTCTGAGCTTAAAGCACAAGGAATTGAGAGGATGATATGGTAGTAATATTGTCATGTCTTTGTATCAGCACATCATGATTGTTCAACGTCAAATGTCTGTGATAGAAGAAGAAATTGAGGAATTCCGGCTTGCTCTGAAGCAATACGTGGAATCTGCTTCTACTCAGGGTGGCTGCTTGCAGTAAGTACAGTGTTGCTGTCCTTGGGCTGAAGGAAGAAATGTAGTCTAATTTCTTGAGTAAGGGCTGGCCACACTATTCCTGATACAAGCCAGGATGCTATTGACCTCCCTGGCCACCTGGGCACACTGCTGCCTCATGTTCACTGGCTGTCAACCAGCACCCCCAGTCACTCCTTCCCAAGCCTGTAGCTCTGCATGGGGCTGCTGTGACCCAAGTGCAGGACCCAGCACTTGATCTTGTTGAACCTCATACATTTTTGACAATTTTTATGACTTCAGAATGAAACTTAACAAATGATGGCAAAAAGTTACTTTCGTTGCCAAGTTTGCATGAATTTGGTAAGTCTGTAATGCCACCTATTGGCGGGTTTTCACTGTAGTTGTTTATGACTGACTTTTTTTCCAACAGTTTATATTTTTGCTATTTTACAATGTAGTTTCACAGACAGCAGGAGAAAAGTAATAAATCACATGACTTATTGCTTATTACTGTATGAACTATAATCCGAGACCAGTTTTCAAGCACATCAGGAGTAAGATCAGCAATCTCACACTTGGGCACTCAAGAGAAATACGTATACGTACTTCTTGTGCTACACATATAAACACAAATTTGAGTACCCAAATGCATAAGTACCCTATGTGCTTTAAAGCTTTTCTGCTCAGGATAATAAGCACAATGATTCTGTGCAAAGGAACAGCAGATATTCTGTGGGTCATTTTTCACCCATGATAAATTTGTAGCTGAATAGCATACGAAGAAGTAAATAGTACCCATACCTAGTATTTTAAAAGTGTCTCTGCAGCAGATGTCAGCCTACCTGGCGTTATACTTCATTAATATTTGCTTTCAAAGCACCTAAACTCTATGCCACTTTGATGGATCTCTCATACAAAAAGATGTGTAATCCTTCAATGAAACAGCACAAATTGCTCTGTAAACTTACTTTAACGGTTCTCCAGGTGCAATATACTGTATTAGCTGATCTTCCCTGAACGACAGTTGTTTAACCAAACAACAGATTACTGATTAGCATTTCTTTAGAAAAATGACACTACTGGAGCAATATGAAAAATGAGTTTCATAAACGAGTCCATCATAAATGTAGTAAAATAAAAGATCAATAAATAAAAAGCCACTAAATTAAGATTTATTTTTTTTAGAGCTCAGATAATTTGCAGTATGTGCTCATTTATTTGTAAAATTTATTATTTGGGTTGGTTTTTTGGGTTTGTTTTGTTTACGTTTTCTTTTCTTTTTTCTTTTCTTTTTTCTTTTTCTTTTCTTTTCTTTTCTTTTCCTTTCTTTTCTTTTCCTTTCTTTTCTTTTCTTTTTTCATTTCTTTTCTTTTTTATTTTTTCAAAAAATCACTGTTTTTGGTTCCTACTCATAAACAATTTGGTATAAGATGTAAGTGTCCCACTTTTTTGTGTTTGCTTAAATGAGCTCTATCCCACAATTCTTAGTGTTTCCATACAGAAGCTTCCAAGTGATTCCCGCTTCATTGTTTATGAGTTCTGGGAGAACAGCAGTGCCTGGAATAGGTAAGTCTGGGGGTTTGGTTTGGTGGGGTGTTTTTTGGGGTTTTGTTTGTTTTTTTTAAAAAAAACAAAGTTTTGAAGGTTAGAAAGCAATTTTGTAGGACTGAATACAAATTATTTTAAATACTGCTAATTATGTCTTGTTAAATAAATCACAATCTTTCAGAACAATATTCAATTGCTAGACTAAAATATACTGAGATGTATAAATAAAAATGTCAGAGACAAAGCTAATTCGACCAGAACATAAAAAATCTGAAAGTGAACAGAGAAAGGTATGGCACCACATAGATGTTAGCTGGTCAGACACAAAAGAATAGGGAAACGGCCATATCACCACAGAGTAATGACAATGACAGAAACAAAAGGAGCCAATGAGGAAACAGGAAGTGGCCATGCAGCAACACACTCAGGCATGCAAGCAGTCACGGGGAACTCTCCTAAAGCTAAATACACAACACAAAACCCCATCTGACAGACTCCTGGAATGTCTCTTTGGGGCCCAAAATAGAAGTTACAGTGATTAAGTCTTACCAGCCGAATTCTAGCCTGCAGCAGGCTAAGAAATGGAGTAGAGACTAAAAGATTTTCCTTAAATAGATTTACTATTAAAAATATCCGAACAAACCAACCCTGTGATCCTAAATCTGTAGACAGAAATAATTCTGAAGAAAGATGAAGAATCTCTTGAAGCTTAGCTTCCTTCTTTCCTTTTGAAGAAAACCCTGGTCCAAAGTTTACTTTCAGAAAGGCTCAAGAACGCAGCAACATATCGACACTACACTGGGTCACAACCAAGAGATGAGCACCAGAGTAACAGTTAATCATACAGAAGAAAATCTGTGTTTAATATAACATTCAAGCACTTCGCAGCTTATCTGGTCTCCTCTCCCATGATTGTCATTGCCCAAGTTTAGAAGCACAAAATCTTGGTTACAGCATCAACTGTAACATTTCTGATGCTCATAAAAACAAAAAAAACCCTACCCCCTTTAAAAAACTTGATATATTCTTATTTTTTACAATTGTTTAGCCACCTTCAAATGAATTACAGCAAGACATTCCAAAGAAGTAATGTGGACTTCTTGGAAACTCCAGAGCTCATCACAACAATGCTAGTCCCTGGTAAATATCAATTTTTCACAATATTTTGTTTGTTCCATGTGAAGAGTTCAGCTATATTAGTGTGTTCCATGTGCAGGATCACTGCATAATATCACACTTAGTCAGACCTTCTTTAGTAAAGTATGGAGGAGAAAGGGCTCCAACTGTTTTTATTTTAAACACAGAAATGTAAACTGCATCAGCAAGAGTAACACCCACAGTGCTATATTTTATATGGTAAAAAGTTAGGCTAACATATACTATTTAAGCAAATATCTTGAATATCAACACCACTGTTTGTGAATAGTAAAACAGACCTGTTTAAGATTTTCAGGCAAAAAATTGCTTGCTGATGACTACTTGTATTTAATCTTATTTACATTGACTGATGTGATTCTTAATTACTAATAACTGGTATTTCCTAACCAATTTATTGTACATGCTTCCTGCTATGTTAAAACGGGGGAGGGGGGGGGACCCAAACTACTTTGAAACAGCAAGGTGTTAATAATTCCAAATTACTACTTCTAATACAAACCAATGCGCATGCAACATCATCTTTCTCGGAGAAATGATAGTTAAAAGAGACCGTGCAGGATGAAGCAAAGCAAGCGTCACCCCCACATTTACAGAGGAAGACAGCAAAATTCTTATGTTTGGCAATACAAATCTGTTACAATGAAACCCTACTTTCACCTATGTTTGAGTACAAACTAAATTTAAAATAATAAAACCCCACATAGTAGGAAAAAAAAATCACATAGTAATTAAAACACCCCTATGCCTGGGGTTTCTCTTTAAAAGAAACTACCCAAGACATTTTCAGACCTCATGAGCCTGATCTGAAGATGCAATTATATGCCAAGGATTCCTGCAGTATCAGGAGATTGCACTTAATGAACCACGAATCCCTTCAAATCTTTTATCTTACTGGGAAATTGCTGGACTTAAGACAAACTTGGCTGTAGGAAACAACGCAGCCCTTTCCCAAACTTGTATTCAAGGGCTCAACTGGCTATGACCCAGAAGTTCCAGGGGTGGTTTACTCATCGCTAAAGTACGTAACATAAAATAAAATGTAAACATAATTTATAAATGCCTAAATATAGAAGTGTCTGATATTGGATACAAAATGCTCGTTAAAGCATCAACTCTGCCTGCTAAGAAGGATTTCAGCCTTCAGTCTATCCTGGCAGACAGTCGCTATAGAAACAATTATCACTGCACACTCCTTGCTGGGGGCAGGGGCAATGGGAAGTAATGCATTCACAGTTATTTCTACAGTTTATACATTACCTGTAATTTAGAAATCTCTGCAGACTTTTGAACTTTTGTTTCATGGAAAGCACTTCCCATGTTTGATCTACACAAATCGTATTTGTATTTGAAACACAGAAAATGTTCATGAAGTAAAAAATGATGGCTGCAATGCTACTAGTATACTTTAGGAAAGAATTTCAGACATTGTAAAATGATACCAGTGTGAAATCAGGAAAAAAAACCACCTGTCTAAACTAGTGCATAGATAGGGTCTATTTTAAAAACAAATATACCATAGCTCAGACATATCTACATTTTTTTGGCACACCCAGTTAACTAAGAACTGAAACCATTCTAAATTGTAATCTGAATCTGATTCAAAGATTAAAACCCAAGAGCCTTCACTCAGCTGATTAATTAAAATTAATAATGATACACTTACCTGGCTAAGAATAATTCAGGGAGACATGTGATTTCAGGACTGTTAGATCTAATATTATCCAAAAGCAAATTAATTTACCATCAGTTAAGAGGAACCACAACCTATGATAATCTCTTGCACATCTGTTAAACAACCAAGTTGCTTCAGGCCAATCTACCAGGGTGGCATGAATCACTCAATTCCTCTTGAACGAACGCCTAATCTTTATACGAGATCTGGACTTGAGGATACTAGAGAACCTTTTGGTGAAGAAAACAAAAGCTAGAGGAAAACCCTTGAACACTTATGACACTGTAATCCATATAAATAAACTGTAGAATTGGCTTTTTTTTTTAGCCAGAATTTATGAATCCACTGATGTGTCACAGACTACTAGGCTTTCATAGCCCAAGCTCAGTAGGATTCTTAAGTATCTTCTCAACATTCTTCTTCAAGAATTTTTTTTAAATGCCATAAATTGAAGGATTTATGGACACATACACAGAAACAAGTTTTAATGAATTTAATCCCCAAACTGTGCAGTGCAAAGCCTAGAAGTGCCCTCTGCTAAGGGGACTTGGCATCTCAGATGCAGTCACAATTCCCTCCCTTCCTTCCTGTGCCTCTCCATAAATCTTGTGGTTCCTCCCTGCAGAAGGTTCAGTTTCAAAAGGGCAAAGGGTAGGGACCACGGGGAAGAATTGCAAATGTTTCACTCCAGCCCTGTCTATAATCTGGTGATTACAGATCTTCTTTTACAGGAATGACATTTTACAAGTCCATCAATTCTCTCACTTTTGGGGCAAAATGCTCTTAATTCCTAGAGTTGTGTAAAAAGAACAGCACCAGGTTTGAATAATGTCACCAGGAAAGAAAGTCATTACAGGCAGCACGACCACCCAGGGGACAGAGCGCTCAGCTAAAACACTGACACACACAGCCAAGAGCAGCAAGGATTTATGTGGTTTGTTCCCTGGGACCCAGACACTTAATTCTATGCAACTGCACCTACGACATGTTAATGCTTCTTTGGATGCTATCGAAGAGAGATACAAATTCTTGTGCTAAAGCAACCTCCCTGCCAGGTATACTCAGCTCTCCCAGTATTTTAAGTATTCTTCCCTTGTCTGGAGGTTTTGTCCTTGAATGTATGCAGCTTTCAAATAAATTATTATTAGCTGCATTTATAAATTAATGTTTCTTTTTATATGTTATAGCTATTTTATTTAGGATTTTTTACAAGAGGTAGAAAAATAAATACTGCTTATATTAACAAATAATTTTTCCTCTCTTTCAGCATCATGGTGGATCCTCAATAACAACTAGAAGCTGTGGTTTCAAGTAATGTTAATGTTGCATTGTTTTCCATTACAGTAACATTCGCTTAGCAGTGTACAGGTGTGCTGGGGTATGAATTTATGATGTGATACTGTTTGTTATTATGGATGTGATCCTTCCCATTTTAAATATGGAAAATTGCACATTTATTACCTTCTCTTCTTGTGACTAGTTCAGTGAAATGCATTCTAAAAGATGAAATATGATAACTACGCTAAACTGTTTATTGTGTATATTCAGTCCAAACTGTCACAGAAAAGTGCACATTGACTGGTATGACTAAATATTTGTGAAAAGTTTTAAACTTACGTTAATAAACAACTATTACTCAATGCTGCTCTTTTCTCCTTTTACAGAAGAAACTGGCATGAACATAGATTTTCATAAATGTCTTACACTTCAGAGAAGCTGTAAGTCATTAATTAGGAGAATAAACACAGGGACAAATTTTTATGTTAATAAAGAACTTAAGTTATGCAGAAAATTTTCTGCCCACAAGACAAGGCAGTACCATCTTCTCTTCACAGCCTCCAGCCCCTGGCCTCGCAAGAGGAACCATATCTGCCTGTTTGCCAAGCCTCTTTGGATCTACAGACTTCACATTTCACAGACAATTTGCTTTGAACACTCACAAATTCTGTCCTGAGCACTCAAAAATTATCTTCATTAGATGACTGGCAGTTCACTGAAAAGTCACTGGAGAATCCACTGTCAGAGCATAAATAGCCATAAACTTGGAAATAGAAATACCGTCTTGTCTAAGAAGTCTTGCTGTTGTCCCCTGCATCTGAGCAGTAGGTGTGTCCTCCAGCCCAAGAACGCAAGTCAAGTGACTTGTAGCCTCACATCTCCATGACAGGTTAACAAGCTCTACGCACTGACTGACCACTCTCTTCACTCATCTAGTAGTCCAACTTACAAACAATACCCAAAAAGTAACTTAGAAGTCATATTCAATAAAGTATCTTCTTCACTGTAAAACCTATCTATTTTTATGTCAACTCAACCAGCACATTACCACATGTAATTAAAAGTGGGGGATTTAGATTACAAATGAGCAATCTTCATTGCAGTAACGTTCCGTATTCCAGAAACTAGGATTAATCTTAAAATTACGAAAAGCATCACATTTAGGTACCTGTCTGTGACCAAGGCATCTTAGCTCTCACGGTATTAATGGAGTTTTGAGGCAAAATTAGTTGCCTTAACAAGGGCATCTAGTACATCTGAGATGCTCTAGGGTATCCCCACTGGTCTCCAGCTGCCAGCTGAGAAGGATACGAGTTACCTACTGTCATTTTCTGCCAGTCCCATGCAGCTGCTCCTGATATTGGACATGTCCCAGATGACACCAGATGCCTACGTTTAGGCAACCGAATCAAACCCTTTGCCCATAAAGTCAACGGAGCCAAGGTTCTCTACACAAATGTGGATGTCAGAAAGGGACATCCATTAGGTGCCCACATTAGAGATAATCTTCTCACAGTAACTCAGCAAAAGTGAATGCTTTTAATACTGAAGTCCAAAGCCGCCTCATATTCACATGATCCAACACAGATCTGTTCACTCTTAAACAGGCACCCAAATAGACATATTACACTGACAAATAACAGATCAGTGAAAGTTTAAAGGTTTGTCATCTTTAGCAAGCTAAAACTATTCATATTCCTGAAGATTTAGCTGGCTTTTTTCCTATGCCAAGATGTCAGTCTAGTATACGACATGTTTTCTTTTGTCACTGATCTACTGACAAAGCAAATAGAGTGACATGTGACACTGCTGCAGGGTAAAGCCTTAAGTGAAAACTGACACACTACACTGAGTTTTACAGCATTTTCCCTTTTTGCTGGAAAAAAACTGTATTAAAATTATTCTGAAAATAACCTGCTTTAGAATTTCACATCAATTAGATGCTGGAGGGGGGAAAAGAGTTCTAGTAAGTCATTATGTCCTTCTAACAGTTATTCTCTTTTGTATATTTACTAGTAAACAAACACTTTGATGAATAATACACAAGTTCGAGAAGTTTCACTTATGAGTTTTGAAAGCTACACACAGAAATTGCCATCAACACATACTGGGGAAAAAGATCCATAGGACTCACTCTAAAAAACTCTCTGTGATTAAAAAAACAAAACCGGATTTCAGTTCTTTGTAACATTACTTGTAGACAACACATAAGTAGAATATATTTGCAGGCTTATTTCGACTAACTGCTGTGAAACATAAAAGAAATTGCATTCAAACAAGTCTATTTGCATAGCGCAGGGAAAGAAATCTAACTTCTATCAAAAGCAACTTCAAAGTTTTCTTCACTGTCGCAATTGCAATTCCACACATTCTCATTTAGCTTCCATTATCATTTGTGACAGAGGTTAAAAAATTGCCTTCAGTGCCCAAATAATGTCATTGTATGGCTGAATACAAGTTTTGAAGGTAACTGTATTCATACAAAATAACTAAAATTGATGCTTGTCAACTGAAGGATGTTCTCAGGAAACACTGGTGCCACCTCAAGGCATATCAAGGATAAGAGGGTCATTAGGGGCAGTCAACATGGCTTCACCAAGGGGAAGTCGTGCTTGACCAACCTCATAGCCTTTTACGAGGATATAACGAGGTGGATGGATGATGGCAGAGCGGTGGATGTGGTCTACCTTGACTTCAGTAAAGCCTTTGACACAGTCTCCCACAGCATCCGCACAGCTAAACTGAGGAAGTGTGGACTGGACAAACGGGTAGTGAGGTGGACTACGAACTGGCTGAAGGAAAGAAGCCAGAGGGTTGTGGTCAATGGGGCGGAGTCTAGTTGGAGGCCTGTAACTAGTGGAGTGCCCCAAGGGTCAGTACTGGGGCCACTATTGTTCAATATATTCATCAATGACTTGGATGAGGGAATTGAGTGTACTATCAGCAAGTTTGCTGATGACACCAAGCTGACACCTCAGTGTCAGCTGAGGAGTGGCTGACATGCCAGAGGGCTGTGC